TAATCCCGGTTACGTTTCGTTGGAACATTTAGTTCTAAACGTTCAACAAGAGACGAGAGGGATTTCGCAACGTTCATTCGATTTGCAATCGATCAATTTTTGAATTTCTTTTCTTATTCGGACTTTCCCCTCCTCCTCTGTGGATTTCACGGTGTAAATGTGCACAAAGGAAGGAGAAATTCCTAGAATTGAAATCCGCTCGATCCTGTAATTAGCAAAACACTCGCGAAAATCCGCACGCCACACTTTTACGACGGTGATATTAATTTTAATTCCTATTAAAACGGAAACGTAATTATATATTATTAATTATATATCTTTATAAATGCAATTAATTATAAATGTAATTACTAAATGTTAATTATACGGGTAGTTATTTATAACTAAATTAAATGTCCATATATTTTTGTAGCAAGGATTATAAATGGACTCACGGTCCATTAACCTACATTTTTTTTCTTCCTTTAGCGTTGGAAATGCACTACTACGCTCTGTCTAAAATTTGGAATAGGCCAGCGAGATATAGACGAGATTAAAAATTAATCCCTCTTTTCATATCTCGGAAATCGTGTCGTAGATAAAAACAAAAAAACGATTAAAAAAGATTTCGAAATTTTCCAATGATGGAAGTTACAGCGTTACAAATTTCTCCTAATTTTAATCGGGTTTTAAATTCGATTACGTTTATCTCTCTTGGAAAGAATATTTTTTCCCTCCCAATTCGACGCTTTTAAAGAACCCTCCAATCGTGTCGATCGAAACAGAGATTTTCACAAATTTTATAATTTCTTCGATATCTACAACATCTCGTTTGCAAAAAACATAACTAAGAATACTAATATTTTCACGAGCATCCTACACACTCCAAGAGACATCATCACAGCCCAGTCATAATAGTTTAACCCACCAGTGATCCATCTCCTGGACCGACGACGAAAACCAACGTTGTCCTCGGAATAAAGTCGAAATACGTGGCGGCGAAAGGGCAAGGCAGCAGCCGCGACGACGAGAATCCCGGTTCGACGGGGACAGCGTTAATTAACGTTCTCGCGTTAGTCGTTGGGTCGATGCGTTTTCCGGTTTCACGCCCCTGTTCGGCAATTTCGTCGCGTTACCCTGGCGACGTTCGGTCGAGCAGGCCGCCCCCCTCGCGCCACGAATTAAACGGATAGCGATAGGGACGATGGAACCAACTTACCGGGATCCGAGGAAGGATGAGCCCTGGTTAGTCTGCAGAGTTGGAGCGGCAGATAACGCGTATCCGCTCGCGGTGGTGATTTCGGGGGCGGTGGTGTCGCGCTGAGAAAGCCGCGCTGCAACTCCCATCCCACCTCCTGGATGATCGACGCCTTCCTGAAGTACGGTGTCACCTCCCTCAGATACTTCACTGCAACGAGAAAAAAGTAACAAATCAGATTTTTGGAACAGCGCGAGTTTCGAAACGAAAGAGGGGGAAGGACTTCGATAAAATTTTTCACTCTTTGGAAAGGAAGTTACTCTTTGTTGTACACTGAAACGAGATAATTAAAGTTAGCGGATAAGTCGGTGAGATTATCAGAGTGACGGAAGGGTGGCGAGGGAAATGTCTTTCGGAATCCAGAGATCAAGATGGACGATTTTTACGTAGCTTTTTACGTAGCTTTTTACGTAGCCGAAGAACGAAATTTGGAGGCAAAACGGGCGATTTACCTCGCCTCGTAAATCGTAGCCGCGGCCGGATCATCTCCGTTCCGCCATCGAGGCGTCTGCGAGATACGCGCGCGGTCACGTACAGACTGTTTCAAAATCCAATTTGTCGTTGATGTTTCGACGTAGCTGCAGCCACCGATGCGATTACACATCGGGACAAACTCGTTAAAGTTCGAAGGAGCACACGAGCGCGAGAGGCTGGAAGGGGCGAGGGAGAGAGGGGGCTGGAAAAAGGGGGAGAAACACGTAGGTGCAACCCGGACGACACCTAACCGAAATACGTGCAGGTTGCAACCCCTAGAACGCTTCCAACTCGCAGGGAAATCGTAAAAACCTCGCTCGTAAAGTCGGTATATATACCTCTTCCGCTGCTGAGCAGCTTAATATCGAACCGATCGGTGGGAATATCGATCGACGTTGCCCCTCCTTCCCTCCTCCTCCAAATTTCCAAAACTCCTGCTTTCGGATTCCAGTTAACCGAAATTACCGATTCGCGCCGGGCAAATGGCGGATTTACGACCGGTTTTGCTTTTAAGAGCGGGGGAGAGGAGAGGATCTATGGTTGTTTCAAGAACGCATCTCTTCGTATATCCGGGGATGCATAGCGCGATAGATTTGCGCGGAAATTCGTTCGAACGCGTTGATAACCTCCCATTGATCGTAAACACTAATCATCATCGGCTTCGACCGACTTTTCTTTGCCGTAGGGAACGCTGAGGGGAGAGGGGACGAGCGCATTGCCGCAATTTCAACGATGCCCATTGATAAGCGCCGTAATGCGCGTCCCGAGTAACCAATCCCGGTTGGCGCAAACAGCCATCCATCTGATCACTGACTCGTCGCGTTATTAATAATTAGACGCGTTCGCGATCCCACTGTTTGTCCCCGATTTCCATCCGATTGGATTACACCTCGCTCGCGTCACCGCAGAATTTCTACTGTGTTGATATCGAATAAATTTGCCCTCGGAAGGGGCGTTCTTAGATTTGCGGGATGGATAGATAGAAAGGGTAACGAAAGAGTTTCTTTCGATCGTGTTAACTTTCTTTTTTGAAAATTTTCCAATCGTTTCGTCTCAGAGTCGCGTTGTTGTGAAAGGAAAAAGGAACGCGATTGTCTCTTTTTTCGAGATTTTCGAGAGGTTTACTGAAGAATCGTCGCGCACGGGATTCGCAAAGGGTGAAAATATTCGAGCGGAATATAGTTGGCAATTTTCGGGCGCGCGAGTGGACGAGCTCGAATCCGACGATTGCCCATAATTTTCGAACGCGTAGTGCTCGAAGCCTCGATCGTGAATCCATTCTTCCGACCAGTAATTTCGCCCCCTCCCCCTCGATCGAATATGCGCCCGTTAACGAAATTCGCGACAATTTTCCCGCGTGAAGCGAATCCCATATTTCGTGCGAGATTCGATGAATCCCCGGCGAGGGTAAACAGCCACGGATCTGAGAAAGCGCTCTGCGTTCTTTTCTCGAAGAAGAACTCAAAGAGGAGAATCTAGGAGAGTCTACATCAGCAGGATGTTTAGAAAATGAAATATGATTTTTCTATTCGCCGTATCTGGAAAGAGAAGCTACTGTGTTGGGGCTGGTCAAAGGATGACGTCCAACGTTGACGCTACTTTTCGACGGTCCATTAAAGTAACTAAGAGGATTCGCCCAGGAAAAAGTTGAAGCTCGGATAAGGGTGGGTATATCGTTTTTTTTTAAAAATTATGAAACTGCCGAAAAAGCTGGACTGCAACTACGTGCTTGTCGCCCAATTGTGGACGACTGAATAACGAAACGATAAATTAATTAAGCGAGCTGGCGTGGAGCGAGCTGGCGTGGAGCGAGCTGGCCAGGATGTTGATCAATTTTCGCGGTATTCTATTTTTATATAATTCTATTTGTAATAATTCTATTTGTTTTATAGTTGCGGACCACGGTTTGAGAAAGGTTTTCGAAACGAAGGGAATCGCAGCCTGATACTTTTATGGGCCAGCGGCTGCTGAGAACAATTTCTATTACATCGTGTCGTACGTATCCGAAACGAAAACCGTCTGGGACAGACTGTACCATCGAAATTAGGGATACTCGGAAACGGGACCGCGTTTACAGCGAAATGAGCAGGTTCCCGGAATAACCACGCCGCCTCTAATCTACTTTAGCAACTATCCAAGAACAACTCGGAGGGTAGAACAACATTAGTTTTCCTCGGGGAATCGAATCAATTTCCGTATTCCGGGATTAATTAGATGCTCGAATCTTTCCCAACTTTCGTTAACATTTACAGACCCCTCTTCGATACGAAATTCGTTTTTGAAACGGTTTGATCGGTCCATCACCGTCAAGATTTAAGAAGGGAGAAGCGATACAAAGGGGGAGGCGAAGAAAATCGTGGAAAAATAGAGGAACCGAGGACGAAAAGCGACCAATACGGGAACGGCTTGGGAATGGAGTAAAAACGGATAAACCGGAAGTCGATCGCTGTCCGTTCTTCGACGGAAGATATTTTTAATATCCGCTCGTCTTATCCCACAGCCCTCGACTCAACCCCCCAACAGTGTACATCGAGGAGGGGGAAGGAGAAAAGGGAGGAGGAGACTTGCCTCTATAAGAGGAATCATCTCGTATTGAAATTGCACGGAAATTTATCCGAGATCGTAGCCCGCATGCATCCATGCACCCCTTCAAAGTACGAATTCCGATGAAAAATGGATCGTTTCGAATTTATGAAAGCGGACAATTGATCCCGATGAAAGGCTATATTTTTTCCTTTCCCCCGTTTTGCCCGGATTTTCCATTTTTTCGAGCTGTGATATTCTTCTTCCATTTTTAATAAAAGAACGGTAGTGGATATAGATCGTAGACGACACTCGCGAATGATTCCGTTCGACGTACTCGTTCGTCGAATATCCTCCTATCCTTCCTCAGTTTTTGCATAATTCGATAAATTTCATCTTCGATCGAAACTTCTTTCTCTGGCAAGCGTTCGTTGCTCAAGATGTTAAAAATAAAACTAACAATTCAACTCCGAATCCGTTCGTTCAGAGGTATCAGAATAATCCTCGATACAATAAGTAAGCTTCAAACGCGTCGCCAGTCGCCAAAAGCGGAAATCCGCGTGTAACTGGCGTGTGTGCCCATTATTCGGGCGCACAATCGGGTGAATCGATTCGCTCGAATCGACGCGCGATCGACATCGAAACGAAGTCGTTCGAACGTATATAACCCGACAACGAGACGGGAAACGACGTTTGGAACACACGCTTTGGAGAGGTTCGCAGCCACCTGTGCTGTCCGATCTTTTGATCGACAGGTGGTAAACGCCACTTTGCGCGGGAACATAGAAAGTATTACAAGCGCGAGAATCCTTTCCCCCTCTCTGTTTACGAGCGTGTGACCCCCTCCATCCTTCTTCCTTATGCATACAGCGCGCATCACCGACGCCGATTTATTCCATTTATCGCGGGTAAAAATGTACAGATGATCTTGTTCCCATGAACGAGCTCGTATGAATATTGAACGATTCGCGAGTACAAACGTGTCAAATGTGCGTGAATTTTAAGTTTTTTTTTTTTTTCTTTTTTTTTTTTTCGATATCAACGTTGCAGAAGATCATCGACATCGTTGAATTGAAATCGAATCGAGAAGAATTTGTTGAAGTGAAAGTATTTTTCTAAAAGAAAGTCACTTTTCTTTGATTTATTATAATTAATTCTGTCATTTCTTGTTATTGAATATCGTGTAAAAATTTTCTGTGTTTTTTTTTTTCTTTAGAATAAAGAGAAGACAGAAAATTATTAAGGATAATGTAGAAATAGTCAACGAGAGGTTCAACAAATTTTCTCTCTGCATTTTCGCGAATCGAAAAGAATCGAGAAGAATTTGTTCAAAGTGAAAATATTTTTCTAAAAGAAAGTCATTTTTCTTCGATTTATTATAATTAATTCATTTTTCGTTATTGAATACTGTTAAAAATCGTGTAATAATTTTGTGTTTTTTTTTCTTTTTAGAATAGAGAGAAGACAGAAAATTAAGAATAATGTAGTAATAATGTAGAAGTAGTCAACGAGAAGTTCAAAAAATTTCCTCTCTGCATTTCGCGAATCGAAAAGAATTTGTTCGAAGTGAAAGTATTTTTCTAAAAAAGTCACTTTTCTTCGATTTATTACAATTAATTCTTCACAATTCTTTATTCAATCATTTCTTGTTATTAAATATCGTGTAATAATTTTCTGTGTTTTTGTTTTTCTTTAGAACGGAGAGAAGACAGAAAATTATTAAGAATAATGTAGAAATAGTCAATGGGATTCAAAAAATTTTTCTCTCTGCATTTCGCGAATGAAATGAAAGATCCAATTATCGAATTAGAGAATTGAGACCAAAGATATCTTTCCCCGGGTGTAATATCAGATTCGGTAAATAAGATAACGTTATCCCTTCTAGATTGCTGAACCTTATTCTCGGGATAAGTTTCGTTAGATTAAACGGCTAGCCCGGCTCGGGAACGCGATCCCTCGAGATTTTTATTCCCCGGCCAAGGACGGATGCCTCCCACCAGACGAGAGAGATCCACGGTCCGTGAATCCTACCCCTTTTTCGCAACTCTCGCGTAATCGTATGATTTACATTCAAATTTCCTCCGCGAGCAATACGGCCTATTCTACGTCGAAAATTTATTCCAGATATCCGTTGGATAATAAGATTCGAGCTT